TGTGTGTTACTTCATGTACATGACACAGTAGATTATATATACATATGTATAACTCCATGTAGACTACATTCAAAATTGTAACAATGCAGCACAGAACAAACCTGCATAGTTATCCATAGCTACGTCACTTGTCAAAATGTCAATACTCAAATGATATATGCAAAAAGTACATAGAATCACATGACCCATGAGATTGACTGTACAGTACACTTAACGTTAATTTTACAACAATCTGAGAACAAAATCAATTCTCCTTATATATGACCTACTCAATATTTTCCCCAATATGCCAGTGTTTGCGAGGCTTTCTGAAGACAAGTATGTTGCCTAATGTAAGAAACTCAGATTGACACCTTTTCCTGTAGATAGCTGTTCTGACTACCTCCGACGGCCCATCTGTCGGGTGCGCATGCCAACTTGTTCGGCACTGAAAACTATATTTGGTCGTTACGTCAGTGTTACCACAGCTCCCCCCATGACAACCATCACTTGAAGATATGCTTTTGATATACATCATTAAAATGATAATTCATACGAGAATGCTGTGCTGTCCAACAATAGCATGACTCAAATTAATCTACTTATAGAATACTCCAGTCCTCATACCAAGTACCCCATGCCTTTTAATTACAATTTACCGTGCGCTTTTCATTTCTATAGAACCCCAATGAAAGGCGAAGACGCCGCTATTGAATGTCCAAACAGAATACAAACATTCCATCCACCTACTGGGGTGTTATCTGTTTCCCTGTCATTTAAGGTATGAAGCAGTTTGTATCCAAATCTATCCAACAAAATAATAATTTTCTCTTCCATACTGATATTAATTGTCCTCAATATGATATAAGCAGTTGGCGAGTTTGATTATAAGTGACAGAGCAAAGGGCGAATAGTTTCTACTGAAGAAAATTATGGATTTCAATAAACTTCATACAGAAATGTTACCTCTCAGTACTACTGTCCCCTTCAGTTTTGAGACCTGATCGATGACTCACATTGCTCAGTCGGTGTCTTCCCTGCTGCTTGGGTTAAATTGCAACATCAGGCATATTCCCTGGCCTTGGCGAGGCTACGAAGGACACATCTAGACGGCTGGAGCTCGGTGCCTTTCTGGGATTCTCTGCCGCTCTTCGACTGACTGCCCATTTGGGCGGCTGGTCAGTCGGATTGTCCGTATTCCGTCCAGCAACAATGTCCATTGCTTGCGCGTCTCCAACGTTAACGATTTGAACATTTATCGCTTGTGTCGACGGACACCCCAACTTTTCACGAACGGTGTTGGCGAGTCGCCGGGTCTTCTTGCTCCTGAGTGCGTAGATGGTCGGGTTGACCACCGAATTGCAGAGCGCGATAAGCAACCCCCAGTATGGCCTTGCCTCTATCTCACAGTCTTCTCTTGCGAAGCAAACAAACTGCTGTACAACTCCGAAGCAAATCGGCAGCGTTAAGATGATGAACACTGCTGCAATGATGACAACTGTCACTTGCATCATCCAGATTTGTTGGAGTTGCTGGTATTGTATGGCCGCGGTTTGTTGGCCTTCAGGGTTGAGATTGTCCGGAGGGTTCTCTGGGGGTCCCAGTCTGGAGAAGCGCTGCTTCAGTTCGATGAAGATTCTGATGTTGACAAAGACCACTATGACTACGGCTATCAACAAGGTGGTGTTAAATAGAATTAGGTAGCTTACGGGCAGGTTCTTTATGCAAGTCTCTTTGTTCGTAGTGAAGCAATTCCAGCCCATGAGAGGAGACAAGCAGACAAGCACACAAGCTGGCCACGCGATCCCCAAACTCACGGCAACGTGTCGCCCAGACATGCGGGTCTGGTAGAATATTGGGTGCAGGATGGCCAGATAACGGTCCAAGGACAGGAGGACCACGCCAACTGCTGACAAGACCAACACTAAAAAGTAGGTACAGAGTAAACCCAATATTGTCCATGGGTCAGACAGTTCCAACTGGAAACATGCGCAGAAGAAGAAAGAAAAGACACCCGCCACGCAGTCCGCCGTAGCCAGGTTGGCCACGAACATGTACATGGGTTTAGATCGGCGATGGCTTTTCAGCACTCCGGACAAAACCACGACGTTCATGAGGAGAGCGACTGTCCCGACAGCGGCGGAGGCGATCCCGACTTTCTTGTTCAGGTCCAGAACCGGAAAGGGGAGATGAGAACACGCAGATACTGCCATGTCGTACTCGGTCTTATTTGCCATGTACCGGAGGAAACAGGACCAGAAGTTCTCGATCTCGAACACTGTGGAGTTTCCTCCGGTGAGGTTCTCCGCGCTGCCGTTCATTTTGCGATGCTCACTGAAGACAAGTATGTCGCCTATCGCAAGAAACGGTGACTTGGGGCTTTCCACCTTCTCCGTAGATAACTAGATGACTGCCTCTCTGACAATCTGTTGGCCGCGCATGCCAACTTGTTCAGGACTGAAGACTATATTTGGTCGTTACGTCAGCGTTACCACAGTTTCGCCACTAGCCGCCACGGCAACCATTACTTGAGGATAAAAATGTCAAACCACACGACAACGCCTGTTGTCGAACAATAACATGCTTTTATTAACATTCCACCCATCTGGCGGACGTTTTAATGAAGTTTATTCACATCCACAATCACACAACAAACGCATCGAATCACAGGGTAGCAATGTCTTCAGATGAAAACTTCTTTAAGATCGAAATCAACACTCCTATTAACTACCGCGCAGACACAAATCAAGTGTTTGTATCTCCAAGGCTTGTATAACAATCGGATGATGTCCAATCAGTAACTCATTTGGAACATCAAAACCTCTATTACAATAGCAAATTACAAGGATTAATGACATCAACGTATCAATTTTAGTCCAGGAGTCAACGAAAAAAGGTTGCAACCATAGTGAATACCATCCACATACAGAACAAAAAACAAGCACACCTGTCCTTAGTGCTGAACTCTTTTTAAACACAAAACACGCCCGTCCTTCGAACACCGAAAGCACACCTGTCCTTGGTACTGAACTCTATTCGAACACCAAAAACAAGACCTGCCCTTGGTGCTGAACTCTTTTCAAAGACAAAATACACCTGTCCTTGGTACTGAACTCTATTTAAACACCTTTATCCTTGATGCTGAGTATTGTTATAATGTAGTAGCGTTCTGTATAATGACGGGCCCTCACTATTTTTAACAAAGTGCGTGTTCCACAATAACTTACAATGCACAACATGTATGAACATTCCTTCTAGTTCTCCCTTTAAAGGTAAGGGCAATGATGTAACTGTTGAACTCTTCTACGTACATCCTTTCCCTCACAAGACGTTCAGACCAGTCATGACCAGGAGACCAGGAGATTGACAATGAAATGTTTATCTGAGGTTGGATCGTAATGTTGACGCAGGTAACAAAATAAGTAACCGAGCATGTCTAAGGTATTTATACCTTCAGAAGAAATGAAAAAAATCAATTATCAATCAACCTCACTGTAAACAAGCAAATCGACAATGTTTCTCAAATGCACCAACCCATTACCGAGAGTATCAAGAAATGTGAATATTAGCTGATGTAGGTTTTGTCATCTTGGCAGGGGTATTTCTTTTTTCATCATCATACTAGTATAACTTCATCAGAAGCTCATACTCATAGAACATAAAACCATATAGGTACTAACTACTGTGGATCTGTGTCTAAGTGATCTGTGCCGTGCAGCTGGTANCTGTAGTGCACCGACCCCTCCCGTCACCACA